CTCTTGATAAGAAACAGTTGTGACTGGTTTATTTTATCTAAATTATCTTTTGAAAATGCACTAATATTGTTCATGATGATGTATTTTGTGTTTGTTCTAGAACGTCTGTTCTAATAAATATTACATGATATTTTTATCTACCATAATCTTGGTAGCAAATGAAATTCCACTCAAAATACTCGTATTAGACCAAATCATTTGGTTCTATATAAGCCTTACTGATGTTCTCCAACACCTTGGTGATCGATTGGATAAATTAGGATGGATTAACGATTGAAATCAAATTACTTTCCTGATGGAAGTCGATAATACAATAAAAGTCCCTGAATCAGATTTTGTTTGATTGAGAATTTTATCGATTGAACAGATTGAAATCGATTATCGATGAAAATTGAATTAGAGCGACATAATGGAGAATAATTGGCGAAATAGATTATTTTTCAATCAATTTATAAATTTTCACCAATTTCAATCGGATTTTCTGCGTAAAGTGGGAGACCCGTCCAAAGAAATGAGATTTTGACATTAGTGATCAAAAATAATCGTGATTATCTCATGAATATTTTTCGCGGGGATAAGCTTTTATTTTCGAGACTAAATCAGAATTATTACATAATAATATTTATGACAACTCATATTCTAGAAGTTGTTAAATCAACCGAATTTTATTTGCTTTGTCAAAGATTCTGCTTAGATCATTGTCGTCGCTAACATATAGTTGAGCTAAATTTGAATGAATCCAAAGAATCGGCTGATCGATGCGTGCTAATGTTGCTAAATGATCATGATGACGGTTATTTGTTGTGGAATCTTTTTTAATAAATATTGGAATATATTTATCCACTTTATATTCGAAACTCAGTCGAATTTCAAATGACATTGAGCGTTGTCGTTTATTTTTCCTTAATCTTAAGCCGGCTGTACAATGCCATGGTTGTCGATGCAAATTTGTACCACATTTGATTAAAAACTGTTCACAATTCGATGGCTTATTATGGATACTTAGTCGAACTGTACCCGGTAGTAAAAATTGTATATCATCCAACTGGTAGTCATTTTTTGCTGATGTTTGTGATTCATATGAACATATGTATCTAGTTGCATTGATTAAGCATGAAAATAACAGATGTTGTCTTAATAATTCACGATTGGTATCACCAACTTGAGGTTGATAGATTTGAGCTAAGATTTTCAATTCATCAATTGATGAGAGTTGAGCATCAGCTAATTCAGGATGATAACGACTATGTAATATTGGCTCGATCAGTTGAGATATGTTACTGTTCAATGACAGTTTATCAGCTAAAGCGAGAAAATTTTGCCGTGTTGTACAAAACATTAAATCTGATTTTGCTTGAAAAAATGGTTGTGAAAATTTTTCAAATTTATCTGAATACACTTCAGCTCGTTGTTTAATAAACATCTCTAAATCTTGACGATGTGCATATTCTTGCTCCAACTGTTCATGTGACGTTAATATAATGTTTTCACTGATACCCAATTGTACTACTATTTGATTTAAACATCTTGAATATGCCTGAATATGTTCATTCAAATCCGTATCATAGCAGGCATATCGACGAGCATCTTGTACGACAAAGAGACGAATTGATTTTGTCTGAACTTGAATGACTTCTGTAATTGATTGTAGAAACCATGCAACCGTGCAATTACGGTGAGCCAATTCACGTAGTAATAGTTCAGCCTTTTCAGCATTTGCCACATTATAACCATTATTTAATTCTTCTCGTAATATATCGAGTCGAAAATGATTGTCTTGTCGTTGTTGTGAATCAATGATACTTGTCATTTCTGTTGTTAAAATTGTTTCAATACTTTTTTGCACATCAGCAATTGTTTTCACTGATGCATCGACATTTTTAAATATTTTAATTAAAATTACAGCAAACTGCTCTGTTGCTATTAACATTGCCTTGACGATGGACCATAGCTGTAAGAGGGAAATAACTTCTCCTAGGTCCGGTAAATAACCATCATTTTTAACCTTATTTCGATCACGATTTGGCAACATAAGAATAGAAAATCTTAAATCGTCACTGCTTATTAAAGCATTTCTTATTAGCGTTTCACGTCTTCTCAGAAATTTGTCTTCCGACGGAATTGAACCACGACGAATGCCATTACTAAACAAAATTTCAATAATTCGATAAACGAGCGTTGTAGATGTAGCTGGCCCCCATCGTTCTGTTCAATTTGCTACAGTTGTAGCTATTTTTTCAGCTAACGTTTCAGCTTCTTGTTTCATTTTCGAATATATTACTTTTAGTACAAATTCCGCAGTTATTTCAAAACTTTGGCAATGTAACTTATTTCGCCAGTTGCTGCTTGATATGTAATGGTCGAATTCTTGTTCTAATTGTTTGAACAAATCGTACGTACCCAAATCCGAGTTGTAAGTTGTACTTCCGGTAGACATTGTTGTGTATAGCCAGATGACATTTATTTGACTGATAAACTGCGTATGCCATCCTGATATATATATACTCGCTACTCTTTCTAGAAATCATATTGGATAATAACGTTCTTCCTTTAACTCAGGAAGTTGGAAAAATCGAAAGCAAACAAGTCTATTTTGTTTTATGTTTTCATCACTTTCCCTTGTTTAAAATACGAATGAATGCATCTTCTACCTAGCAGCTTCTTTCTGTGGTCCATGATAGCAAAGCTGATCGTGGAACAAATATATTCTGATATTATAAAAGAATGCTATTAAGTTGGAAAGACTCTGTGTTCGGTCCTTCAAAAAGACGGAAATTCAATTTGTTCCGTCATTATGACATACACTGAAAAAAGGTACACTACGGCACCCATGAGGTTTCATATTACTTTACCATACATTATAAGGTATCGTACAAACGCACTAAATCTTTTAAAATTTTCGAAACGTCTTAGGCTTCGTGTAAAACCAATAAATGTTTTCCAAGTAGAAAAAATTTCTTAGTATACTTTTGAAAGGTATCGCAGTCAAGAGGTTCCGTACCAAACTTAGGTTTTCGTTGTCTTATCTATAATATAGAGAGTGCGGGTGTGTTAGTCTTCCCTTTACTGACACCTACCCACACCCACACACCACACCCACACCCCACACATACACCCACACCCACCCACACCCACGCCCACGCCCACGCCCACGCCCACGCCCACGCCCACGCCCAC